AAAATCGGCTCAATATATTAGAAAACGGTAATACCCAACTGTTTAACTCTGGGGGAGTGGTAAAATGAGCCTATTTCCAAAAAAAGTGGAGTATCCCTTTAAATCAGGGTCATGCATTGTTGTTGAGTGATGTCATTTGCCGCGCTTCCATTACTGCGCAAATTGAAATTGGGACTTGAAAAAAAACGCCCAATGGAAACGCCATCATTGCAAAAACTCCCATTTATCGCTAAATCGGTTTTATGCTCGCATGAGGTGGTGTTTTACACAGATTCGAAAAAGGAATATTTCTCAAAACTGCAATGAGAGAATGAACTGTTTGAATTTTTGTGCATCTACAGGTCACCTGACGTAGATGGGGCGGTGTGTTTGGGCAGAAGACGAGACGAGAGTTCTTCATTAAACTCATAAAAGACAAAACTAATATGGTAATACTGGATTCTAAACAACAAAGAAATGCCACAATTCATCAAGAGCTTAAAGCAGAAATGAGGGAGAAACACCCAGAAACTTCTTCTCCATATCATAGCTAGTGCAGTGACTCCGATATATATACGTAAATCTACCAACATTGCCTCGATTTTTGGAAAAAAAAACATTTCTGTAACATGACATCGGTTAATGGAAACGTCGTCATTGTGCATAGTCTTTTATCAACATTTAGATAATATCGCATTTTTTTAAATGGAAACATTCGTGGTTGTGTTTCCACATTCTGTAAATAAGGTTGTCACAAAATAAGAATACGTGAGTAACTCAATTTTGACAAAAATGTAAGATATAACCTTATAATTTCCAAGGTGACAAAGGGTCGAATGCACAGAAAGGGTTACATATAGGGTTACAAGTACAAAATGAAAGGTTGCCAAATTGTGTGAAATTGTTCAAGCTTCTATTTTTCTATTTGAATAAACTGCAACAGGTTGTACATCCAATGAACATAACTAGGTGTGGAAGGGTTTTAGTTTTAGTAAAAAGCTACAGCATTTGATTGTGGAGATGATAAGGACACCTTTGCGGGATAAGGCCAAATAGCGCCACTAAGGGGCATAGTTCAACATCTATAATAAAAATGAAATTGACTTGAAGATTGGTGTCCAGAAAGAGGTCAATGCTTGACAAAGCCAAAAAGATTGATAAAGAGTAGCCGGAGCTTGCCGGGTTCATTTTAAACGGAATAGCTTTCACTTATATTTCACAATACTTTGCAGATTGATATACGGCATATGGCACACAAAACTCAAAGCGAGCACTTTCTCCATCTAGTATCCTCCAATAACATCAGTAAGGAAACAGAGGTGTTTTTATCAGTCTGCCTGGAAACAAAGTCGTGTTTAGGCATGTTGATGCAGCAAGCACTTCAGCTGATGAAACAATTACAGGATTTGCCAGGTTTGTGGAACCAAATATTAGAAAGAAATTGAAATTGACTGAGTTACACCACGGTACGATGCAACGACACGCAATAAAAGCTGAGTTTTTGTCCAAAAAAAGAAAAAAAAACATGACTGCGATACTATTTTAGAAGCGGTTTCTATTTCTGTGACATCGCGGATGGAACAGCAACAAACAAAGTAAACTCAGGTGCTAATTATGTGCTTTATTTAATGGTAAAAGTATCTTTGCTAGTCATTCCCTGACATTTTATTGCATCGCGTCTGGTGGTGAGGACACGCTGTAAAAAAATATTGTTGGTTTAACTTAAAAAAGTAAGTAACCTGGGTTGCCTTAAAATTTTAAGTTGATTGGAATGGAAAAAGTGAGTTAATACAATGAAGGAGAATGATTTAATCATCAGAAACTCAAAATTATATGTTATCTGAACTAAATAAAGTATTTAAGTTGATTTGACAAAACAAAAAATGTTGTAATTACTACACTGTAAAAAAAATATTGTTGGTTTAACTTAAAAAAGTAAGTAACCTGGTTGCCTTAAAATCTTAAGTTCATTGAACTGGAAAAAGTGAGTTAATACAATGAAGGAGATTGATTTAATCATCAGAAACTCAAAATTATATGTTATCTGAACTAAATAAATTATTTAAGTTGATTTGACAAAAGAAAAAATGTTGTGATTACTACACTGCAAAAAATATTGTTGGTTTAACTTAAAAAAGTAAGTAACCTGGGTTGCCTTAAAATTTTAAGTTGATTGAACTGGAAAACGTGAGTTAATACAATGAAGGAGATTAATTTAATCATCAGAAACTCAAAATAATAAGTTATCTCAACTAAATAAATTATTATAAAGTTGATTTGACAAAAGAAAATATGTTGTGATAAAAAATCTTGAAAAGAATTTTTACAGTGATGGTAAACTAGACGCAGAACTGTATGCGGCACTTTGTTTTCTGAGTTATGTGAGGGCTTTTTTCCCCTTTTTATTAAATGTAGCCTACAACGATTGTTTAAGTCAAATTATTGCATTTAATCAATAAACTTATTTAGAATAATAAGACAGGGCTGTCACCAATTAAATTAAATCAGTATCAACTAAATCTTTGCAATGCAGAGGAAGCAGAAGCTGCATCTGAAGTGACATTTATGCACTCATGAATGCATTTAACCTGCAGTTACAAATGCACACATACTGTTTTGATGTTTTAAAGATAAAACATTGATAATAAATGAAATGCTTTAAAAAAAGGAAAAGATACTTTAAATATGAAAGTAAAACTGCCAGTAGGGGTCACTGTTAATGAGCGAATCATTGAGTCATTAATTCAACCGATTCATTCAAATGAATGGACCGAATCATTCAGTAACGAAACACTGTGGTGTGTTGCAAAATAGCGACACTGGTTTTGTTTGGAAGTATTCTGTAGGCGAAATAAAGCAAATATTGTGTCTAAAATGTAAGTCTATAAACCTGTTGTATAAAATGAATGTTACTGTGTGTGGGACAATGGGAGAGACACCTATTAAATTCAATATATCATTGTAAATATTATCATTACTAGTGGAACATTAAAACACAATAGATGGAACTTTTAATATTTATTGCACACACAATAACAAATAATCAAAAATTAAATTATGCTTCTTAAAAAATGATTGAGTCAATAATAATACAAAATATACATACACTCTTTGTGTGTGCAAATTAAAATGATACTGAAACTGTCAGACGACTTCACCACTGGTAGACATACTGTAACCTACTTGAAGTATTTTCTTCCTCACAGAAGTAAACCGTTTAACAAGAAGTGCTCTAAATTTAATACACAAAGTACCAAAAATAAATAAAAATAAAATAAAATATTTATTTCCATCATCAGAGGTCATTTAAGCCACATTCTAGGCGTGTTTGCCACACGTGTTGAACGACGATGCTTTCTGGGAACGTTCCCTCAGGTCATTCTTGGGTTTAATTTATGTTAGTTTTTAGATTTTTTTTTTTATAACCATGTAAACGAATTAAAATGTATTTATTTATTCTAGCGATTACACACCAGACAAAAAACTTTGCAGGTCCTATGGTGGAGAGAGAGCGTACTCGGATGAAAACCGCTTCATTGAACTCAATTATAGTAACGGCAGATTTAATTGTCAGTAACGGTATCGGGTTTGATTACTCGTTACTGAAAAAGATAACGCCATTAGTAACATCATTTATTTATAACACCATTATTCCCAACACTGCTAATGAGCGACACCTGTGCGACACACCGGTCTCGTATCTCTCACGGAGGAGCGGAATCATAAAGGAGGAGCGACGACAGTGAAGGATGAGAGAGGACCAGGCCTGCATTTATGTTTCTGTTTTATTATATGTCTTTACTTTCGTTTTGCATTTGTTTCATTTATTCTATTAAAGTTGTTGAACGTTCCCCGGTTCCCGCATCATTCTTCCCACAACAACGAACTCGTTACAGGGACATTATTACAAAATGTCAGATTGCACATCGTTAAAACGACAATTGCAATACTGTCGTAGATGATACATCTCCCACACCCCTAATATGAGCTACTTAATAATCCCAGACCTATGAGGCAAGAAAAACACAACAAAACAAAAAGGTGTTGGTTGTAAGGCTGGGCGATAAACAAAATCATATCGAGATTGTGATTGTGATGTAAATTTATGTCGATAACGATGATAAGCTCCGGACATTTGTCCTTGATATGGATTAATCTTAACGGCTTTTCACACTGGAGACTGCCTGTCGCTAATAAGTGATTTCTGATTGTTTCTGTGAGGGAATGGCGCGGTTTCATGTGATACACAAAATCATGTGACGCTCGCAGTGTTTTCAGTGCCTGGCGTCTAAATATATGAGGACATAAACACATGACCTTCATCTCCAGAGCTGAGTCACTTCACAAGCTTTTCACCCTTTCATTTGAGGAAAAAACTACCATCAAATACATTGAAATTGAAAATAAAACTGAAAGATCTTCACAACAATCCTCCAAAATAAAAGTTCGGTTTACCTTGAAGAAATCATGACAGAAATATATCACTACTGCATTCTAAAATGTAATTGTTTAAGTAATGATGATATTATTATTATTTTTAAAGAATATCATCATTTATCGATGGTTTAATTTATACAGTTCTGTTGTGCAGCATCTTATATATTCATCTCGATTAGATTGTTGAAGTTTTATTGATTCCTTTTATTAGACGACATTTTTGATGAGAGATTTGTATTAAATCATAAAAATTGCAATCCAGAATTTTTATTAATGAAAAACACATCATTTAGGGAAAAATTAAATGGACTTCATGGGGCCCTAAATTGAAAGGAGTTTAATGGTGAACAAACAAGTTGTGTTTATTTTAATTCTCAATGTCTAATAAATATGTGGAAAGCATTTCCTTTCCCATTAATGGTAAATTAACATCATGATAAAAATCGTTATCAAATGATATGGAAAAAAAATTAACCAATTTAACCAAACCATGCACTCCTTTAATAAGATATCAAAGTGACGTGAAATTATAAAGAAGAAAAAAGCTAATTATTAAGAAATTTTACTGAGGTTGATTTTCTTACCCGACTGGTCCAGTTCGCTGGTTTCTGTTGAGCCCAAACCCTGTTTCCAGTCCATCAATGGGAGTCTGTCCTGCTCGTTTGGGGCTTCATTACACCGCCGCTACCTACATAAAGAAACACAATGAAGTTTGAATGACGTGAGGGTGAGTAAATAATGTCTGGCTGAACATATCTGAAAGAGATCAAGGGCTAATGATTTCTCTCCTATAAACTAAATGTTTGAAATTGAAAGCTGCAAGGCAAGAAGATGTAAGTAAAGATCCAGAGCTTCCATCACCACGACAACTGCATGCAACAATCTACTATTTTAGGCTCAATTTAACACTCATACTACGTTTGTTAACCCCTGGAAACTTTGTGTGTATATATACCACTCATACCACATATTTGTTTATGGTAATTACATCAAGCCGTCACGATTTTTCACAGCAGGCGAAAGGAACTGGGTGCTATAAATCAACGTGTAGCTGTGACGAACCAGGACTAAGCCTTCACAGGGCACATCCTAAACCATACTGAACACGGGGGAACGGTTTGAAACGCACTACATAGGAAACAACTTGGCCGGAGATGTCAAGAGTTCTTGAACCGAACGAAATGAATCACTACGTTCAGAGAAAAATACTTTATGAGAGTAGCATGTTGATCAGCCAGTAATAAAACTCATAGAGACGAAGATAAACACTAGGAAATAGACTTTAATGACAAATATACTGGAGACAGGAAGGCATAAACGAGAACCGACAAACTGAGGACTCATAAGCATGGACCAAACAAAGAGAACAAATGAGATAATAACTAGACACCGGGTATAAATAACGACAAATCAAGACAACTCAGAAAAACAAGGTCACGGAGAGCAGAACAGATTAAACGTGTGACAAAAGCTCTCCTCGTGTTTTTGTGCATACTGGCATATTTAAATGTTTATGGCCAAACATATCTTTTTTGTGATTTTTATCTTTATACAAGTTGTTGCAGATTAAATATTGATCATTAATATGGTTGTGTATCGTATGGTTGCAATTTATAACGATTGCAATTCTTATCGACTCCCAATTTCTATTTCAATAAGGTAAAAATAAAACGTAACATTATTAAAGACTTGTAAACGTTTAGTAGTTAAAAAAGAACAAACAAAAACATTAGGAATCGCACAAATAAATACAACTGAACAAAGATACGATTGAAATTGAAGTATACAGGTACAGAAACTAATCAAATGTAAAATAACACTGTACTTTATAAATAACACATACATTACAAATGAAGAGTTTGGTTCCAAAACGCGATAAACGCCATTTAAAAAAAAAAATGAGTTACTGCAAAAATCTGACTTTTCAATACCGACCAGATACAAAACAATGTTTAATTTTACGTAAAATGGGATATCCGCCGTGTTATTATGTAATGTTTTCTCCCTTTCTTTCCAAACCGCGACAAACGCCAGTCTCCCTTTTCTGCAAAATGCCACATATCCGCTAAACCAATCACAACGCACCATTCCACGCAATGTAAACAGTAACGGCAGCGCTTTAACTAACCCGGCTTCCTAGGTTTTCTCTATTTTGTCCTTTCGATCAACAAACAAACAAAAAATGAATAATTTTGACAGCATTGGTGAACCTGCGGAGGGTAAGGCATCCTGCATGGGTAAACGTGACATCGAAATCGAATCATTTACGTGAGGAAGAAGATGGAGGAGGAAATGCCGGCTGTTGCTTGTTCTCACACGACAGCATCAAACTTCTGTCACGCTGACACACTGACCCCAGGGGATCTTTTGAAAACCTTTCAGTTGTTTTATTCAAAGTCAACGAAAACCGAGCAGGACCCATTTTACAGCTGATCGCCGTCAAAAAAGTTCAGCGGCGACGTCCCAAGGTTGACAACCCAGACAGCAAACTGACATTGAATGAACGTGGAAACGACGTCTCTCATGACATTGAAACAACGTTGATTTTGCTCATCGAATTAACGTTGAACCAACGTCAGACGCGGCATTCTTCAAAGCTAAATGAAATCGAAAATTGGTTTGCTTTCATAACGTTGAAACAACGCGTTGAATTCAAGTTGATTTTCCGTTAGTTTTGAAAGAATGACGCGTCTGACGTTGGTTCAACGTTAATTCGATGAGCAAAACTATGTCAGATCAACGTTGTTTCGATGTCATATTTCCACGTTGATTCAATGTCAGTTTGCTATCTGGGAAAAGCGATATGCATAACGTTAGATCATGCTTAATAAATCATGATTCATGATGATGTGCTCATCTTAGTTAATGTTTTAATTAAGGTTCTGTTCATCCATGAAGTCATGAATGAAAAACGTTGAACTGTTAAAAAAAACGTTGTTAGTTCCTGATGATATTAATATGAATGAATGCATAATTCATGCATGATTCATTTATCCACGAATTCATGATAATTCATGACATGTACCCTTAAAGTGTTACCGAATATTGTTATATTAAAGCAATGGATATAGTATGCACAAGAAATTCAATGTGTATACAATTTATTTTGATTAATTGCATTTTGAAAAAAAATCAATTATTGGATTTATTGCATTTTGGGGGAAAAAACGATCTGTTTTTATAATAAATCTTTGGACATCAAAACCTGGATTTCATTTTTTATTGTTATTATAACCTACAAATGCTATGTGAAAATTTAAAACCGAAAATAATGGTTTTCATCTTCCCATTTTCTTGCTAAAGAAAACACAGTTTTACTCAAATTAATCTAAATGGATTTATAGCGTTTTGGAACCAAACTCTTCAAATATAGTTATTCAGTCAAGAACAGGGGGTGAAGTATCTCTTTGTCTTTATTGTTTGATTAATGTAATATTATCGAGATGACAGCAGTGGTATTAGGCTGCTGTCACTTTAAGAGATGCACAGATTCAATATAGGGCTCTGTCTTGCACCCGGCGCAAATAGGGTGACCACCCGTCCCGCGTAGCGTGTGCGCGCACAGCGTTTGAAGCCCAATTCATGCGTCCCGCAAATTGAGACCGTGTCACGCATAATCAATGCTTGCTCAAAAAAAAAAAAAAAAAAAAAGTCGGTCAGTCTATCTATATCCTCGAGACCCAGGCAGCCAAACGTTGTGCCTGAACTCGTTCACGTTCATGAACTCGTTCATATTTTGGGTGAACTGAACGTTGTTGTTTAACTGCCTGTCCTGATTAACGTGTGAACTCGTTCATTCTGGTGTCTGTGAACGCACGCTCTCTCAGTTTAACTTCGTTCAATGGGGTGCCAGATTTCCAGGCGAAAACACGGCTAAAACTCACCGTAAAAAGGGCTTAATATGTTGCGAAAAAACACACAATCTGGCAATACAAGCCACCAGTGTCGCACCGCGGCCGCCGTCGACAAAGGCGTCATATGATAATTTAAACGGATTTTATAAGGTCGGTGAAGATGGGAAAAATCTTACATTTCTGTGCAAACTTTGGACTGAACTAGTTCGTTTTAAAATGTGTGAACTGTGAACTGAACTTTGAACTAGTTCGGAAAGTGAGAACTTGGTGAGAAAGTGAGAACACTGGTTGCCACTCCCACGTGACCTGCTGACTAGGTTGATGTCAACTTTTTCCTTGTTGTCATGACAGCACACCTTGTCGTTCCGTGAACCTCTGGAGTTGTGAGTTTAGACTTTTTTTCGACTTTTTTAAAAACTGTTCCTGTGGTGTTGAGCAACTATAATTCCTGTTAATCCCACAATTTTATATTTTTATTTATTTAAAGTGAATTAATTGTAATGAAAAATAAATAAAATTAAATAGCTAAAGTAAATCGTAAGTGGAAGTGCATCTGTCAATTCATTTAATGTTCAAAATATTAATTTTATTTAGAAAAAAATACACATTGGTTGGCCTATTCATGAGCATATCAGCAATTACACATGTTTAGGGAATAGGGCATTATTAATGTATGTGCTAAGGTATGTTTTTTTTTTTTTTTTTTTTTTAATTATTCATGTACAAACAGTAAGGCAATAGTAACAATTCTAGATATGGGTAAACCACTATCAGAGTGGGGTGGGGGCACCGCCGCGCCAAGCAGTGTCCCACATTGTCCCTCAGAAACATACCCTTTGTCCCCCCTTGGGCTTATTAGCAGGTGGTCACCCTAGGCGCAAATGACTTTATACACAAACGCATGTCTCATTCCTGTTTTGCACGCACGCAAAGTGGGATTTTTCCCTCCACAGATGCACGTCAGTAAACTAGAAAATGAACTTGCGCTCCCTGGGCGGATCGGCGCAAAAAGGAGGCGTGTTTCGGCGCAAACATTCCCTGGTGCCATTTTACACTTTCAGAACACAATTGCGCCACTGACCAGAAAAAAACTGCTCTAAAGTCAGTGGCGCGTTGTTCATAATGCTATTTTAAGCGCGCATGCTTGGCCATAATGTAGCGGGTGCACAACGCGGATACACTGTGATTCTCTCATCAACACAGATGCAGCAGTTTTTATTTTTGCAAATCATACATTATAACAAGGAAAAATATTAACACATGAGGGAAATCATTGTGCTTTACATGAAGATGAAAATACCGAATTACCCATTTTTTAAGGCTAATTGTAGTACTGAAGGATCAGACCTGTTTGCCCAATAGTGGCAAGAAACATACGTATAGGCTATAATGTTTAATCGACGCTGATGTGGTTACGCCCAAACCACACCTATGAATAATGAAGCTACTTCAGACCAACCTCTTTTAGATTTGCTCCAGGCGCAAGAGGCATTTATCCCGCCGGGAAAATAGCAACAGCGCCGGGACCCGCCCACAAAGTTACTTGCGCCATGCGCTTTGACACTTGCGTTTCAGATCGTTAAAATAGGGCCCTTAATGTTACACGTGCGTTTTCTTTCTCAACTGTTTTCGTTCACTTTAAGACATAACCCAGGGTTCCAGACTGCGACCAAATTGGTCACATATACGACCAGTTTTTGAGAATGTGCGAGTTACAATTGTATGTGGTCGCATATGTGCGAGTGGACGCTCGCGCAACAGAACGCCGTTGTATCCGCTGCTGCAGTCCGTGACTTATGTTCAAAATGGACGAGTCGGCTACATCATTAATCCA